GAGGTGGAGAGAAAGATCATTTTTGTAGTGAATAGGTAGCCTTTAGCCTTGAAAGAAGAAGCTAAATTCAATTGGTTCTGTTCCAGAGAGCCAAGAGCTTTTCCCATCACTGTCTTTTTGTGGATGGTATACGCCTCTGTTTAGAAATGATTGGGTCGAGCCCGTGGTGCACTCGAAAGTGTGGCGCTGGGAGCGCAGCAGTGCTCCTGCCATGGGTTCGGATCCTATATAGAAATGGCCAGTGCGCTCACTTGCTGAGCGTGGTGCGGCCGGTCTCAAAAAGGACAAAAAAAAAGAAAAAATAGAAATGATCAATGCCCCCAGAGATTCAACTACTGAATGCGTTCTTGGCCTTTTACCCCAACGCAGGGCACAGCCATGATCTCAAATAGCAACACAGTGGAAAAGAAAAATCCACGTAAATCCCTCTTGTGCTGTTTATATGTTTTGATCTAAGAATATTACTCAGTAATATTGTTATAAACCATATAAACCGGGCATACTGGAATGAGTATGACTGTAGACCATCACGGACCACGTTAAAAATGATTAAGCATTGTAATAGATGAGTACATGTGGAGTAGCATCACAGCTGTCCGTGAAGAACTATCACTGCATGACCTTGATTGAATAAAACCATTCCAGCAGTGTCAAATTGAGAAAGAAAAAGAGTTGACTTTCTGATGTCACCTTTAAGACCCCTGAAATCCATAGCAGGTAAACACCTCCCAGTGTATCTGATGAATTTATTTACTTATGCTTATGTTTTGCTATTTAGAAATCCACACTCAAAAATCTTAGGTTGTGAGCCCTTAAGGACAGAGCTCTTTGTAGAGTATATTTACCAGCCCACCAGTGTTCAAGGACTCAAGCTATGTTCTTGGCTGACTAAGCTTCATGGGCACTGACCTGTAGTGCCGCTGGTAAAGCAGATGATGCTCAGGTCGTCTGGGTTAGGAGGCTGGAGGAGGAAGCACAAAAGCTTATCTACCATGACCTTTGAGAGTGGACTATGGCAAGACTCAAATTCAGTCAGAAGGAAACTTACCACAGGGTTTCTGCAGTTCTCTCTGCCTAGATTCTACATGAACAGAAAACCAAGAAGGAACGACATTAGTTGAGATGGACACACTTAATGGCAAATACAACCCTCTCTTTCCCTCTTCCATGAGAACACCTGGATAGCCCGAAGCCAATATTCAGGCATAATGGAAGCCCCAGGGAAGAGCACAAGTTTCTCTAGAACACCAGTCTAAAGACGACAGATTCCCAAATGTCCAAACTTCCCATCGTACTCTTCAGGTTCAGTCATCTAGGACCAAAACTAAGTCTTTTTGAACTAAGCAAGCAACAGAGCATGCCCGGGGTCCTGAGGCAGGAGCCAACAGCCGCTCCCCCTCCCCCACCATGCCCACAACCAGACAAGGAGTACACAAAAAACACCACTTCCATGTGGGTGGCCCACCACAGACACCACCATAGTCACGGTGGCTGCAAAAGTGGTTCAACGCCACAACAATAGCCACAGCTACCATGCAGGTAGCCTGCCAGACACTAGGCTGTGTTGACACAAGGGGAATCACTAGTGGAGACCAGAAAAAGAAGAAGACATCTATTTCTACCTCAAAGTACTCTCTAATTTCCCTGTGATTTTTCTTTTTACACATTATTTATTTAGGAGAGTGTTGTCTAATTTCTACACATTTGTGAATTTTCTAAATTTCCTTCTGTTGTTGTGGTCAGAGAACATACTTTCTATGATCTTAGTCTTTTTAAATGTATTAAGACTTGTTTTATGGCCAAAACAATTCTTAATACATTTAAAGGGCTATTATACACACACACACACACACACACACACACACACACACACACACACACACACACACA